ACTGGACCAGCTAAAGGAACATATTCCAGAGAAACAAGCCTCACCAAGATCACTGCACACAGCCTGTGAACAAACAAGCACAAATAAATAAATATATAAATAAAATAAAGATAATGCAATTTATGTCTCCTTCCAACAATAATTAATGAACACAAAACAGTACACGTACTGTATATGGTCACTTTATATTATAGCAAAAAGCATTGGCCATGATACTGAGTGTACATGTGTACCTGGAAAGCTACAAGGAATAAGTTTAGTGTAAGGGAACAAGCAAGCATGAGAACACCTGCCACAAACACAAATAAACCCAAAACAAACAACACGACTAATGTCAACCACTAATATCAAACCCTAAAAATTATTCCTATTACATAATACAGTGACTGCATAGACATACACATGTACATGTACATGTACATACCGTATTTCCTCGAATAAGGGCCCTACTCAAATAAAGGTCTATCACTAATATACGTATATTACCACTATAGATATGCATATTAGACCCAGTATTATGTGCCCTTGTGGTTAGAGTAGTCCAAATAGCCTAATTGTTCATCCTCAGTCTTGAGAACATAGAGTCGTGGGTTCGAGCCTGGGTTTTGGAAAATTTTTAATTTTTATTTTTGTGATTTTTGCCCCTGTTAAGCAATAAACGCCTAGGCCCTTATTGGAGGAAATACGGTACTTGTTCCCAAAGGTCAAGATTACACCATTAGCTATTAGTAAACATGGAGAGTGTTTAATAACATTATTAATAACCTATTTTATCAATGAAGCAGCTGCTTATACCTTACATCACAGACTATTTTGAAAACACTACGGTTAACCTATAGTTCAACCCAAACAGTCACATTATACATTTCGTACATGAAAGATACGATATCAATTAGAACACGGTACAGGGTATTTCTCTAATTTCCTTTCCCAGTCACCTTGTCTGGATGATAGTATCCATTCTGAAAGGTACAGTTCTGCTCTGTAGTGATAATGCAGTCACCTGATATCCCAATGCAGCAAGGATGAAGGGTAACGTCACACAGGCCACCAGAGTTTAAGGACTCGTTGAGACACGTGCTTGGACCTCCTAGAACCTCGTTTGAGCAACCATCACCCTCTTCAAGACAACTGAGAGAGAGAAAGGGGGAGGGAGAGTGAGAGAGAGAGAGGGAGGGAGGGAGGGAGGGAGAGAGAGAGAGAGAGGGGGGAGAGAGTGAGTGAAAGAGAGGAAAAGAAAAGACAATTTCCCATATAAATACATGTAATGTATACACAAAACCACAGATGCCAGAGCAGCACTATACTAATTACATTTCCTACCTTGAGAGTGGGAGCATGCCACATTCACTGTAGCCACAAGAGCCAGCATAACAGCAACGGAGTCTTAGCTCATCATTACGCCTTTTAGCAGCTTCAACTCTAAACTGAACATTATTACGCATACACTACAAGGAAGGAATGGAGGAGAGAGAAAACAAACATAAAAAATTTAAAAAGGAAACTACATGTAGGACAAGAGAGGGAGAACACAGGGGAAGAGAGATATCTCGAGGGGAAGGAGAGGAGAATTAGGAGAGAGAAAAAGGGAGAGATAGGAAAGGAAGAGGGAGAGAGAAACAGAGACAAAAGGAGAAAGGTGTGCTATTATTTATCCAGTATAATTGATACAAATATGTGTGTGTTTGTGTCACATAATTACGTACAAGTAAAATTGCAAAAGTATGTAATATTCTGTATGAGTGTATTTTCATAGTGTGCTTGTACATGTACGTGCATGCATCTTATAATCCATTTATTTGCATTACATCACTCAGTACATGTATATTACATTAACACATTTACCATTATGGTAAGACAATCCCTGCAATTACCATAAACATTGTAATCACATACAACAGGCATAGTCCAGGATATATGTCACGGTTACACACGTACTAAAGCCTGGAGTGAGTGATATCATAATGAGCAAGAATAGAAAAGGAAGTTATTCTAATGAAAGGACACAGTTAATAGTACAAGTGCAGCTGAGGATACTCTGAGTCCAAATGACATACCATCATGTGGGCTACACTATATGACCACAAATTACACCCACTAATGCAACAAGCGTACATGTACATGTACATGTACATGTACATGCATGTACATGTACATGTGCAATACGTATGTGTATAGTGATGTCAAGTGTCATGGTTTGAATACTTCCTATCACAAGGGAAGTCTATGATTAAAAGGTGACAATATGAATCTATTGATGCATGAAGGAGCAGGTGTTGAAGGAATACATATGTGTGTATGTCTAATGGGGTACATTTTAAATGAGGCATGCTAACAGTTGGAGTGGATGTAGCTGCATAATATTGACGTCTGGTCAATTAAGTGATTAATAGAAATACATAATGTGACTAATGAGCCATGTGTAATGAGTAATGGAGGAAGTGAGCTTTAAGCAATTAAAAATAGACAAAATAAGAAATTAAAGAATATTAGACTTTTAAACTATAAATGCGATTGTGTGTATACAAAGAGACTAGAAAATCTCCCTCTTTCCCCCAGGCATCCTTAATAGAAGTATATATTACATATGTACAGTGTATGTCATTGAAGGGCATCAATAAACATGCGTGTACATGTACATGTATTTGTATCAGCTAGTGCTACATGCATTATACTTACAAACTGAATTTTTTAAATGCTCATAACTTGAAAAATTGAAGTCAGAATCGACCCAAACTTTCAACATAGCTTAAGGATATCAATATGTATCAGAAAATGTAATAAAAATTGGGGGTGATTTCGGAGCCATTTTTTGGAAAAAACCATGGGCTATAGTACAGGGATTTTTTCAGAATTTTAGCGTTTTCTTAAAATGGCCATAATTCAAAAAAAGTGAAGTCCAAATCACCTCGAACTTTCTACACAGCATAAGGACATCAATATGTATCAGAAAATTTAATAAAAATTGGGGGTGATTTCGGAGCCATTTTTTTGAAAAACGCCATGGGCTATAGTACAGGGATTTTTCAGAGTTTTAGCACTTTCTTAAAATGGCTGTAACTCAAAAAATTAAAGTCGGAACCAGCTCAAACTTTCTAAACAGCATAAGAACATTAATATGTATCAGAAAATGAAATAAAAATTGGGGGTGATTTCAGAGCCATTTTTTGGAAAAAACCATGGGCTATAGCCTTGGGTATTTTTCGAAAATTGGCCATTTATTAAAAATGGCCATAACTTGAAAAATTAAAGTCGGAATCACCCCAAACTTTCTACACAGCCTAAAAACATCAATATGTATCAGAAAATGTAATAAAAATTTGGGGTGACTCCGGAGCCATTTTTTGAAAAAACCATGGCCTTTGCTTTTGCTGAATATTTTGTCAGTCAGGATCAGCTCAAACTTAGCATACAAATTGCATCAGAAAATGTAATGCACAATTCATTTTACACTAGCAGAACTAAAGACCATTATTTATACTTACAGGAGTGTACTGGGCCCCAACATGTATCAAGGCATCAATGGAAGGACCAATAAAGAAATTAGGCTGAACGTCTTTAGCAACATTAGTACAAGTGGTATCGGCAAAACCCTGGACACAATCGAGCTCCCTTTTAGGAGTAAACCGAATCGGAGCTAACCCAAAGTAGATACAAACTGCAACAAAGAGTATTATCTGGACTAGTGTTATCAGTATAGTGCATATTGGCCAGAATGTTGGTAAGGACTCCATCACTTCTGATCTTGATGGCTCACCCTCTCGATTTCTGCGCCTTACAGGACGCCTAAAAATAAAAATATCAATCAATAATACATCAAATGCATGTTAACTTGTTAAGCAGCGTTGTACATGTACAGGTAAATGTATGGGTTGAATTAGATGATTTCGGCAATTCTTAATTAACAGATTGCATGTAGATGGCCAAATGGCCAATGTCAACTATTGTTTGGTAAAACATGACAAACTCAAGCCATAAGTACACGTGTAAATATCTTTGATATGCTTGGCAACGAATGAGCTCCATAAGATATGGGCCAAGTTGAACTGAACTTATTACTTTATTTGAAGTGTCAAACTGTGACAGTTTACATGATCATTGTAGTCAGTAAAGTGTTACATTGTTACTCAGTGACCTCTGTTACTGGCTCAGACAAATTCCTAAGACGCTATGTAACAGGCATTGGACTTACTGAATCCCAAAACATGTTTACCAATTGGCATAGGAATTATAGGGCAGTTCAGTGAAGGCTAGACAATGTTCACATTCATTGTTCACATAGCAACAGGCTACTGTGCAATGTAAACTTCTCAAAAACATCAGACATGTAAACCTGCTTTGGTTTCCCATATACTGTATACATGTATATACATTATACAGCTGCACATACTAATATAGCTTGGTTAGGCTCATCCCTTTAATGTTTTACATTTGTCTCAAATGTACCAACAGTAACAAAAATTGCCGGAAGGGAGGAGTCAGCGTGTTTATGCCCTAAATGCATAATAGAGTGCTGTGTCAGTAAATGAATAATATTATTTACAGATAATCATAAGATCATGAGATGTGTGGTGTGACTAGTTCTATGCATTTCCAAAAGGTCAAATGGCAAAAATGGCTAAAGATGAAGTGTCTTTTGTCAAAAAACCTGAAATTGAGACAGTGTGTCACAAATGTGGGTTCCAGATGTTAATGGCTGTTTATCAAATGGAGTGCTGTGGAGAGCTTATATGTGGTAGCTGTAATGGTAAATGTAAAATTAATAGAAAATGTCCCTTTTGTAATACCAGGAGTTACAAGTCAATTGTTGATCAGCATGCACAGCGTTTGATTCAGGATCAGACTATGTACTGCCCTAATAAAAAAATGGGCTGCAAGTGGCGAGGAGAAGTACGTAACTACAAAGATCATGTCAAGAAAGGTGAAAGAAAGGGACCTTGTGAATATGAAGTAGTTCAATGCTGTCATGGTGGCTGCACAATAGAACGAAACAGACTACAAATGAATAAACACGAGTTAGAATGTGAAGAAAGACCTATTGATTGCCAGTATTGTGGAGAAAAAATCACATTTCGGGACATAAAAATACACAATGAGAAGTGCCTTGATTTTAATGTAAAGTGCTCAAAGTGCAAAGTTACCATGAAACGCAGAGAGCTAGAAATACATGAATGTCCTTATGATGTGGTAAAATGTAAGTATTGCAATGATGAAGCAAAGAGAAAAGACCTTAGAAGTCATATGCATGATAAAACTTCAGAGCATTTAGAATATGTGTACAGTGAATTACAGCAGTCCCAGATAGAAAAACAAAACCAGGACACAAAGATAGCAGCTTTGCAAGCAAAGCAAGAAAAGCAAGCAAGTGAGCTAACAAAATTACATGAACTAGAAAATCAAGTGAGACAATTTAAAGATGAGACAACAAGATTACAGAGACAAATAGAAACACTGAGAACAATACAGAATGAAACAACAATCCCATTGAATAATAGAACAACTAATATGGAAATGTCGCATGAGAAAAATCATGAAATAACTGATAGAATAATGACTTTGGAAACGCAAATGCAACAGTTGCAAGCCAGGAGAGGATTTTTTTCATTGTTTTCTTGTCTATGCTGTCGCCATCAAAATAGTTACAGTGGCGGATCTAGGGGGGGTTCCATGGGTTCCATGGAATCCTCTCGTTGGTAGAAGAAGTTGTCTTTTTGCAGTATCTTTGGATTCTTTGCAATCAGTTTGCAACACTTTTCCTCCATTTTATTAATTAAAATTAATGAGCCACACCTACTTAAGTGAAATGGAACCCCCCCCTTTTAATTTTTCTGGATCTGCCAGTGAGTTACATGTAGCTATACCAGCATGCATCATGCATGCAAGCTAATAATTCAATTTATATTTCATGAGATTTGTGCTGTTGATTTATTGTTTCTGTTAGGTTTTTCTAGCTGCAATGTTATTGTTTCTTTTGGTTATTTTTTTCTTGAAAATAATTGTCATCTTATCTGCTATTACCAATATTCATTATTACAATGCAGGGAATGTAGGTACATGTATGATGCATAAAACAATGAATCTAAATAACATTAATTAAGCTACATGTAACTAAGACAATGCATTAGTGTAAAATGTCTCAGTGCTCACATAGTAACAGGCCACTTTGCAATGTAAAATTCTCAAAAACATCAAAACAGGTTAAACTAGTACATCTACATTACACAATAAATATTCGACTAATCATACATGTACAAATGTATTTGTCATTAAAGATATAGCTTTTCAATACAGCAGCTAATGTACATGTACAGTGTACATGTAAAGCTGTGCATTGTGTGAATCTATTCAAAAATGAATTTAATGCCCTGTTATACAACATACTAACATACTACCATATACAGAATATGTGCAATGTTCAATTGTAATATGATAAAGCACAAGTACAATGTGAATCTTTAAATTACAGTTACATGCACTAATTTCTTGAGCCAGTACTAATACTACATTGTTACATAAACCAGACTGGATTTTCATGACTACACAGTACACATACAGACACAGTACGTTTTGCATATTAAAGTACATGTACTGTATATTAGCAATTTAGCATAATAATTATTACAGTATATTAGATTATCTTCACTCATTCTTGTACCTGTTTCCTCTGAGAGTGAGAGTGTTCCCAAATGCTTGAGCTGTCCTACGTGCTCTCCTTCCCCTCGTCATAGGAGTATCATCATGGATTATCTCAACATCTTCATCCTCAGTAATGAGCTGATACTGTATAGGGGAGAGAGAGAGGGGGAGAGAGAGAGAGGAGGGGGGAGAGAGAGAGAGAGGGAGGGAGGGAGAGAGGGAGGGAGAGAGGGAGGGAGGGAGGGAGAGAGGGAGGGAGAGAGAGAGAGAGAGGGAGAAATAGAAATAGAAATCAATTTAATCAGCAAAAGTATTTTTTAAATACACATAATAATTAAAAGCCGAGAGTCACATGAGTTTGGTGGGGCCGTGGGAGTGTTAAACGTTAGAGAATATGATCGAGTTAGGAGGACATGTTGACTCAACAGTCAAACGATAATAAAATCACTAGTCACAATTTTAAAACTATATTTAATTACTAACTGTAAACTTCACAAGATCAGCTGATACTAACTAATTTTTAAAAACAATAAATTATAAGATAAACTAGGACAATGTGAAAAACATCATAGGGCGAGCACGAGCGAGCTTTGTGAAAATATTTAAGCTATTAAAATTCTTAATAGTTCATTTTGCTCATTTCAAGTTGTCAATGACAAAAAAGAGCAAAACCAAGTTATTAGTTGTGTCACTGGATCAACTTCAGTCTTTATTTGAGCTGAAGTTCTGATATAATATATCTACTCTCTTTATTCATCAAAGCTTTAGATCCTGTATATCTTTGAAATGACTTTTGAAATGAAATAACTTGAAAATCTTCATTGCCTAAAAGAGTCTATTGCTTTAAGGGCTTTTTTACATTGTATTCTACATCTGCACATCAGATGTAGAATACAGTAGAAAGATTGCCAGTTTAGTCAAGTCAGTCAGAAACTAACATTTCCTTGACATTTACAATTTGTTTATAGCTATTATCTCAACAAAAAGGAGTTTCATAGTTGCTTTATTGAATGTTTAACATTCTCAAGCTGTTGGAGAAGTCTTTGAACAGTGTGCTTGCCTTATCTTGTTGCTAAAAAACTAACAACTTTTTCCCGTGTGTTAATCGCCATTTTTTTCTCATAGCCTAGCCACTCACACTTTCAATGGAAATATTGAAATTTAGAATCCATTGCATTGCTAATGCATGTGCAAATACAAATATAAAGAGGAGATACGGAATACATACGTGTACGCACATACATACATACAAATGCGACTCATCTTTAGTGGGCTCACCCCAATTATTAATTTTAAAAATGGGGTGTGGCTTGATTGAACACTACACCCACTTTCACAACACTTACATCATTTGGTTCTATGCGTGGTCTGAATGTCCCGGTACGAAACTGATTAGGCAATTCCTCTTGACTGAGAAACATACTCTCAATAGCCAACACTGTACAAAGAAATAAAGACTCAAACCCAAACACGATACGTTCCCTTACGTGTATTGCGTAGAGTACCACCGCTTCTTTCTCCCCCCTGCCCGCTCGGGATGTTAGGATTATAAGGCGGGGGTCTACTGGACTCCATGTACAGGTCATAAGCAGGCGGGGGATTATTAAGATCGTGCGAATTCTCCTCTCTCAAGTCAGCCATTTTTAATTACTGAGCTGTGCTGCAGAGAGGTGGGGCTCATTAAAATATGGGCGTGGCTGTTTTAATTAATTTTTAACAGCAATGAGCTGCAGTGCAGTCTCTAAAAAGTTGATAAATTCTCCAGATAGAGCGGTAGATGAGTCTCTTCATGGTCTAGTTAGTGTTCATCCCGGCCTGAGGCTGTTGTCTGGTCATAGAGTGGTACTCAGAGCTGATATTGAGGACCTCATTAAGACTGGAAAGGTAGCAAAATTTATATTAATTCTAAAATATTTTATAGTTGAGAAAAAAGTAAAAAATTTATTATGGTGCAGTTTTTTGAGAGGCTGATTTGGTGACTAATTTTTGAGCTAAAAAAATATTTGTGCATATGCTAATTTTTGAAAATAATGGACAAGTATTATTCAGTAATGTTTTTTCAAAAATTTGCTTCAGAGGCTCCTTAATTTTATGGAAGTGGATATTGGTCCGGCAGCCGGACACCTACTGCGGGGCTATTGGTCCGGCAGTCCCTATATAGTATACTGGGGCTTCGCCCCAGTATACTAATACACGATTTTATATACAGATATCAAGTATAAATACGACAATCAGCAACGTTGATGCAGCAGGGTTGCGGTGGTGTAGTGGAGAGGCTGGTCTGGATTGCACGGATAGGGTCAGCGGTTCGAGTCCTGTCGGGACTATTGACTAAAACTATGCTGAAATGTTTGATTTTTTTTTCTTTTTTTTAATCACTTTTTTTTTTACTTTTTTTTTTAATAAACACTCTCTCGTACATCTTAGCCTCCGGGGTCGTAGGGTTGGGATTGGGGTTTAGTTTTTAGAGCACCCTCTCGTACATCTTAGCCTCCGGGGTCGTAGGGTTGGGATTGGGGTTTAGTGTTTAGTTTTTAGAGCACCCTCTCGTACATCTTAGCCTCCGGGATTGTAGGGTTTTGGGATTAGGGTTTCTTGATAAAAAAGACTAAGTTCCACTTTGCACTATTGCGCATGCGCACAAGCTGTTTTACGGAGAACAACGGACTGCCGGATCTATAGCCCCGCAGTAGGCGTCCGGCTGCCGGACCAATATCCACTTCCTAATTTTATTGCAAATATATTATAGCCATTTGCAGTGTAGTTATTATTGATGGACACTTTTTTGTGCACTCTCAATATTCTGTATTATGTATTAAAATCTAAATGCACTTCTATAGGTAACTTTACTGTCTGGGGGTGGCAGTGGTCATGAACCTGCCCAATCTGGTTTTGTAGGTAAAGGAATGTTGAGTTGTGCTGTAGCAGGAGCTGTGTTTGCATCACCTCCCACTGATTCTATACTAGCAGCATTAAGGTAAGAGAAATCAAATGATAGTTTCATTTTTATGCATACATGCATATATCTTTAGGGCTATTTCTTCACCAGCTGGTACTCTGATGATTGTGACTAACTACACTGGAGACAGATTGAACTTTGGCATTGCAGCCGAAAGAGCTAAGAGTGAGCTAGGACTAGATGTTAGAATGATTATTGTTGGTGAAGATACTGCACTACCATCAACTGGTAAATCAGCTGGCAGGAGAGGACTATGTGGCACTATATTAGTACACAAGGTAATCAATACATTGCTATATTTACGTAATGCTACAGTAATTTCATCTATTGCTTATAAATGGCTCATTGCGTATGCTCAGTTTGTACTGATACTGCTCAGTGATAAGATATAAGCTTTATATACTTAGCATTAATTTTAGCAAAGATGCTAGTTTATAATTAACTGTTAGTGTATTACTTTTAATTTGCAGATAGCAGGAGCAATGGCAGAGAAAGGTTGTTCACTGGATGAAGTAGTAGCTACTGCTCAAGAAGTTGCAGACTCCATTGGTATATGATTTAATACATGACATTTATTTTCAGCAGTTTTTTTAAATTTGTTTTCTTTTCTTAGGTACAATGAGTGTGAGCCTGTCTCCTTGTTCTGTTCCTGGACACAAACCATCATTTCAATTAGGAGAGACTGAGATGGAGTTAGGCCTTGGGATTCATGGAGAAGCTGGAGTAGAGAGAACAAATGTATGTCAGTATGTCACTATGTGTGCATAAACATGTTTTGTCACTTCTTTCTTGTCTTTTCTTGTTGTTTTGTTATAACCTGTGTACACATGTACATGTAGTTGCAATCAGCTAATGTGGTAGTTGCTAGATTATTGGATCACCTTACCTCCATTGAATCAGGATATCAATACTTCAATCCACCTAATGGTATCATACTGTACAATAGATATATTTACATACACTAACCATTGCAAGCACTATATCAGTATCAATACATTATTGTAATTGTTTAGCAACAGTCACTATGCTGTTCATTACTATGTTTCATTGCAGGTACTAATGTTGGATTGGTTATTAATAATTTAGGAGGAACATCAAATTTAGAGTTATCTCTCATTGCTGGTTCTGCCATTGACTATTTAAGTGAGTCTTTAATGTATCACATGACAATCACATGATCTTTTTATTTATTAGCTAGCAAGTTATGCTATAATGTTACAAGAGCTTATATAGGATCATTAATGACTTCACTGGAAATGGCTGGAGTGTCACTAACATTATTAAGAATTAAGGACCACTGGACAGAATATCTTGGTATAGCATAGATAATTATATTTTATTTTGTGCTTCATTTTTCTGCAGATTATCCCACTACTGCTCCTGGTTGGCCTACACAATCCAAAGATCCCAACCTAACTTAATCTACTTATAAAATGAACAAAATTAATATTTTTGTATATGAGAATCAGATGATTGATGGAAATCATTATAAAGCAAGCAAGACATAAAATTTGCTCAAATATTGCAGCCTCATTGCATTAAAAAATCATAATGATTGCTCCATAGGTGGGGCTAGTTAATTAACTAAAATTTAAAAATCATTTTCATGCGGGGTAAAATAATTTTAAATTTTAATATTATTATTCTTTATTTTTATTAATTAAATAAATAATATTTTATAAACATTAACATTAAACACATAGAATTTCATTCTACATTGTGTGTGTGTGTGGATTTGCTTTGATGTATAATAATTTTTCTGTCAGTAAAATGAAGTGTATTTTACTCTCTCTCTCTTTCTAGGGTTCTTGTTGGTTTACAAAGTAATACAGGAGCAGTATGTCCCTCAGTCATTGTTTCTGATAAGAGGAACAATCAATATGAAGTACAAACGGGGTATTCCTTTTTATGCATACAAATATGCAGACGCCATCTTGAAAATTTTTCAAATTATTTTTTTTGTGTTTAGTTGACATTCTCATGAAATCAAACAAAAGATGAACCAAAACTAATAAAATATTTTACATACACATACTAATAATAGTAGCATCAATAAGGAATTCTAATAAGAAACATTACTATTAAACCTATTAATTGTAACAATTAGACGACAAAGTATAACTATAATTAATTTTGTATATTATGTTTAGGTGTGTGTGGGTGGTGTGGTAAAAAAATTCTGAAATATTTTATTACCCCTCTCTTTAAAAGTATTCCACATGCCCCTGTTATTTTCTTGAGCCAATTGTTCATCAAATGCTTCTCTATCTTTTACTGTAGCTACTAACAGAGCTTTTTCCCGAACAGCATAAAAAGATGCTACACGCTGCTGCCATCCCAAATTTTTTTGTTGTTTTTCTGATTCAATAAGTAGATTAATGTAGTCCACTTCAGTCAATGGATTTGGCTTCAGTGCAATCTCATCAAGACGCTTCAGACATTTACGAGCTAGACGTACGTTATATAGAACAACACCATGCATTTTCTGCAGCTCTTTTTCCATTTCTTTAATCATAAATTCATGTTTGTTTTTGGCACTTTTTGCTTCAGTGTATCGTTCATAAAGCTCTTTTGATGTTTTTGTTTCCCAATCATCGTACAACTCAAAGAGATATCCATTATTAAAATGCTTCTTCCAGGTACAATGACCAACACAAACCACGCAAGTTGCATTACTTTCATTACCAGACATTGCACTACATTTCCATTTATCTTTATCATCAGGATAGGCACAAATTTTATGGCATGTGCTGTGGCAATTAGCACAATTAGTAACGTATTGGCCATGAGGAAGTGGGATCTGTCGTTGTTTGGTGATTTTTACTTTATATGTGAAATCTTTATTTGCTTTAATTTTGGATTCATTTTCCTTTAGCATTTTTTCTTCTTGATTTAATTCGTCTATTTTTGCTAGTCCTGCATTAATCTGTGGTTGAATGCCATTAACAATTACTTCTAATTGCTGGCGCTCATTTAATACCTCACGAGTCAGCTGGAGACTGACAGCGCCTGCTTGTTGAAATGTAGTAAAGAATTTTTCCAAACTGGCATAACCCATATCCCAAAACATTTTAGAAAAATCTGACTTACTTGAATGAACAAAAAGTGCAGAATTATTGAAAGGAAAGAAATCTGCGTGAGGAATCTTTGCTTCCCTTACAGCTTCCATTACTGGTGGATCTGCACCATCAGCAAAGGTTGTCATTATGAAGATATTATTCTTGATATCATTTCCAAAAATAGAGAGGATCGAATCAGAAATGTATTTTTGAGTCGGAGTTAATCTTGCTAGAGATGCTTGAGTAACGAAACCAATACCATGCAATGAATCTAACCCATCACTTCCTTCCATTTCAAAAAACTCTTGTATGTGCCTTGTGATCTCTTGATCTCTTTCTAGACCACGAGTATCACCAAAACCAGGTGTATCAATTATGGTTAAATTGCAATCCAAAGGAGAACCTTTTTTCCAATAAAAGGTGTATGCGGTGATTATTTGTGTTTGACTATGTGCCTGGTTTTGAGACACTTCATCATGAATCAGCTTCAGTCGAAATTCATGTTCCCACTTCACTCCTAAGAAATAGTTGACCATTGCATTTATTAATGTGCTTTTACCAGCGCCAGTAGCTCCAACAACCATTAGTACCCTTGTTGGAATTGTAGGAGCAACAGGAGTACCAAACTCAATTTTGGCAATATTTTTGTTTTTTTTTCTAAGAGTTAATGGCTTAGCTGTGATTTTATACACTACTGGGGACCCATCTTTAATGACTTTTGAATCAGCAATGATGTTCTGTAGCCTAACATCAACTATTGGTGGTTTAGTTTGTATAATGTCACTAGTTTCACTCTCTTTACTGTGACCCAAACTGCACTCAGCACGCACCTTGGCTACATACTTTGTATCTGGCTCTAACTGGCTGAATGTAATAGTTGTCTTGTTTCCTTTTATCACCTGATTATGCCATATGTCTGGTGATTCATCAATGCATCGAAGACTAACTGTGTAAGAGTCAATGCTCGTTGAGCCATCCAGTGATTCTGATGAGCTAAATTGGTATGCATTTGACATAAAAGCCCACATTTTTTTAAAAAGATTGCCAATTCTAGATATTATGAAAACAATCATTTGGTACAAAATGAGCCAAATTTTAGCAGAGTCAAGTTTCTTAACCATAACCCTAGGGTGCTTTCCACTCCAGTTTTATGCTATCATGCTCTACACTAGTGGCTTTTGGTTTACCTGGTCGACCAGGGGGATCAAACTCACCAACTGGTGTTCCATTCTCATAATGCATTATGACTGCTCCTTTATCTGTGACATCATCTTCACTGCTGTCTGTGACAATGAATGATACTTCCTCGCTTCCAGCATTAGCCTCACAGAATAAGGAGAATTGCTTAATTTTATGACAAAGATCTTGATGCATGGATTCTGCTTTGAGCCATGGTACAGAAGAAATCTGTGGCCCTTGACTAATTTCTCTGTTGCGTAAAAATGAATGCATGCTCTGGAGAAAAGGATCATCTTTTTTCAAGGCTTTGAATTCAAAGCTAAGGATATCATCGTGATCAACATCACTAAGTGCAGATTCAAAATCACCAGCACCAAAAAAAAGTTTTACTCCTATAATAATAAAATTAAATTTAAAAATTAATTAATAAGCGTGTTGTATACCTTCTATTGCTTTCAAATTATTCAAAAATTGAGTAAGTGTTTTGATTTCTTCTTCTTTTATTTTGATCCATTTATCCAGAGAGCTTGTGTTGAAAGGTGATTTGTGTATTTCTCTCAATAGATCTGCTAGTTGTTGCTCTTCTGCTCCTCCTCCTCTAATGGTTGGTAGTACCTCTGAGAGTTGCTTCATGAAGTCTGTCTTATGCTCTTTGATCATTTTTTGAAAGTATATTACTTGATCTTTCAATGTGTCAAAGCAATCGTCAATTTCAGTGTTGATAAGATCATTACTTCTGATTTCAATGTGATTGAGAGCATCAATTGCTTGTTGTACTTGTGTGACGAGGCTTGTACTGATTTCTCTAACCATACGAGCTGCATTGCTGTCAAGGCTACTTAATGGATATAGCCAGACCTTCTTAGGAACTGTGCTTCCTTCCTTTCCAAGGAAGTGTGATGGAAGCTCATTGCAAACTTTCACAGAATCTTCAAAACTTGAGGGATTGCTTGACAATATTAGGTCACCATAAAACTTGCAATTAAACTTTTCTGTCTCCTTTTTGTCTTGATCGCCAATATTTAATGCCACACCCCCTTTGACTTTGCTAATTTTTGGAATTGTTTCAACTAAAATTTCCATTTTCCCCTGTATATTGCAATGATTCTCATTAGTGGCCACCTCTCTATCGAATATAAAGAATGCTTCTGCTCCATATGTAATTCCTGTTACTACGTGAGTGGCCGTTTGCTTCTCAAATACTTCAGGATGCTGTATTTTTGATGTTGCTAACTGTTCCATTGTCAACTGTTGAAACTTAGAGCTGTAGCTGAACTTAAGAGTTACACGACAATGATTGTTGGAAAACTTTTTGTCGTGAATATATTTCGCAGATCCTGATGAAACTGGCACTAATCCACACAACACGCTTAAGGACAGACCAGCTTCAACTCCAAGGTGAGACATTTTGCTAGCGACACTGTCTTCTGCTTTAACTTCGAAAGAGCTGTTGGGTTGAAATTCCTCGCTAAGAGCTGCTTTGACTACCGAGTTATCCCATAGCGTTATCCCCGGGATAAGGCTGTCAGTGCGACAATCATACAGCATACCGAGTTGAAATGGACGACCAAGACATGGCAGTTCGAGCGTGGCCTTAATAGGCTCAGTCATGATTGGTGGCTGTCAATCGAGATGGCTATATATGAGACAGCGGAGAATATAAAGTGCAGTTGATTAAATAGGTACCAACCGTCCTCTGGCTCGGGGCCCAGAATTATTGAGAACATTTTAGCCCATTGACAAAATTTTTTGCTTGACGAAATTTTAAACCGACGAAATTTTTGCTGGTGCTCTGTACTCACATGCATCAGGTGGTTAGTGTATGCAGATTTATAATCACAAAAATTTTGTTTGAAAAAAATTTGGGCGTTACTAGAATGCGGATAAGTGCGGATCGTTCCGCACGCAGAACCAAGCATGTGAACGTGCGGAACGTGCACTGGCGTGTGCCTAGAATGCGGATCAACTCCCAAGAATTAAGAATATACAACGGGGGCGTAGCCAGGGGGGCAATTGCCCCCCTTTTTTAAAACTCTAAATTTAAAAATAATCAAATAATAAGCTGCTTTTGGAAGGAAAAGGCTAAAACAGTCTTTTTATGATGCCATTATAAGGCTGAAAAGGTATTCAACGTTGCCTATGATCGGTCAAGAAGTCTGCCATGTTGAAAAATAGGTGTTGCTACGCCCTAAAAGGGCGTGGTTCCATAAAATTTTGCGGTGCGCTTCGCGCCGCACAGTTTGTCCCATAGATATTATAGACTACGTAACCGGGATTGGAAACAGATTGGAAACAGTCTGTACACGTGACGTCATCAGTTTCCAATCCTGGTTACGTAGTCTATAATATCTATGGTTTGTCCCCTCTTTCAAAAATCCTGGCTACGCCACTGTACACCATAATAATTTCCCGCGGATCAGTCCTCTTGTTCTTCTATTCCATTCAACCTTTATTTGTTGCAATGTTTTACTCTTTATAAAGTAAAGGCCTTTTCACACTGGCACAGTTTTCAAAGCGCTTTGATGCGCTTTGTTGATACAGCTGAAATAATGGTACGGTCTCAAATGCGGACCGGACGGACCCGTGCGGACCATAGATACTACATGTGCGAACCAGACCGTTGTCGGCGGGGTCTCGTTTACTGACCACACGAACAAAGGACTCAAATACTGACCCCAGAATAATGGAACCGTTTTAAATGCTGACCATGGCATATCAGAACTGTATCTAATGCTGAGTAAAGTCACTAAGTAGAGCCTATTATGGGAACTAGACTGTGATCATAAGAAATAATTATACTGGAGATCAAACACTGACAATTATATTTAAAATGATGCATAATGATCTACTTAATTACACAAGTCCAACAATTATGCAAGGCGAAATAATATTACAAAAATTAATTCTGTTATTAATACTATTATGCAATTAATAATCATTAGAATTCTGTTATTTTTGTTAGTTAGCCTACTAAACATGTATGTATTACACTAGTCATTTAATTTGTTAAAAATTATTGTTAGCTATGTGATTGCTTCTTTATTATGTAAAATGCTTCCTGCTTAGAAACTTTCAGTTTTATCTGTTAGATCTATAATAATCAGAAAATTTATTATTGTATTTTTAATAAGATCAATGAAAGATCCTATTTATCTCAGATATAATGATTCGTTTCATTTCCTTTCCCAGGACAGGCATAGATTTCTTTAAAATATCATTTTCTATTCTTTGCAGGTAATACATTATTTCCAATTAGGCACTGGAATTCAAAGTTTAAAATTATTACAGTTAAAAATAGTTATTTTTATTTTATAAAGAGTTAAACATTGCAACAAATAAAGATTGAATGGATGCGCGGGAAGTTATCATGGTGTATATTCTGAATTCTTGGGAGTTGATCCGCATTCAAGGCACACGCCCGTGCACGTTCCGCGTGTTCACGTGCTTGGTTCCGCATGCGGAACAATCCGCAGTACAGCGTCTTTCAGCCCACTTGGATCACGGAACAACTTTTCCGTATGCAAGACACTCCCTCTTCCCAATTAAAAGTACAGGTAGGTGTGAATACGGAACTGAAAATGGGATCCAAGTGAAGTGAAAGACGCTGTACTAGTAATCCGCACTGATCCACATTATAGTAATGCCCAAATTTGGAAAATTTGGCAAGGCTATTATAGATTTCTGGCAGCGCATTGAGCGCTTTGTTGATAGAGCTGAAATAATGCACATCAATCTTGTTCACACCATATTGTATCCTAGTCAGGCGGGCCTTGTATCCATGTTCACACTAGCAGCTGGATTATATATCATTTTGTTTACATTGATTGCACTGCATCACTTCACAATGGAGATGAAGTGAGCGAGTGAAACTACTCCATCAATGATGAGCTTTACTTTTGCCGGTGTGGAAAGGCCTTTAATACAACAGACCACTAATACCACATCAGGGTAATTTTTTATTTGTTTATTGAGAAAATCTTTTTATGGCGGAAAAAATTACAAATCGCCTTGGTTCAGGCCCGTAGCCAGGGTTACAAAAAAGGGGGTGACAAGTATGAGTTATGTAAAGGGTGAGGGTGACAAGTATGACTAGGTGCACATGAAATACCAAAAATACATCCTTTGATTTAAGCTAACAAACAAAGGTACTAACCGTAAGGGGGGCCCTCTGGCTACAGGCCTGTGGGTTATTTGATTCAATTAGGAAAACTAAAATCCCAGGTAGTATAGTTTGTAAGCTTTGTGAACTAAGTAGGTTTTTTGCTAACACATATGCACACACACTTTTGCTCAAGGAGAATGATGCATGGGGGTGATGCAGCTAGTGTAGCTCTTTTTTAAGGTGGGAGAGGAGGAGTAGGATCCACCACCCAGTCATCAATTCAATCATAGATACTTTGATCTAAAGTTGATTCTATGACTATGGAGTGAACTCTTTATATCAATATTATAATCATGCATGTTTAAAAATTAATTGGTTCAATCACTTAAAACATGCCACACTAGGGTGTTATTCTATAGTAGGGCCACACTGACTTTGCCATTTTAAATTTTGAATAACTTTCTTATTTTAAGTGCATTTAACGGCGGTGTTTCACTTTTGTGCAATGCTTGGATTTTGGGTTCCTTTGATATAAGATAATAGTAGAGCGAAGCTTGTCAAAGTGAAAGAAAAAATCAAAGCACGAGGCCACTTAGCAAGTACTTACGCCATTACTACCACCTACGCTTCGTGAACACGTGGGCAGTAAGCTGACTGCAAGAAAATGGCGACGATTCAACAGCAGAGGGAACAGGAAGGAAATATGACGAAAAGGACAAAGAATATGACTGAAATCACAGGCGAAGACAATTAGAGGCAACATTTAAGAGGACGGCATACGCTACAAGTAAGTCATCTTGTTTTAAGACAATGAAACTGTTCAAACACTTCCCGTTCAGCCACGCAGATGGTTTTCTCCGAGGTTTTCTCTTCTTTGAGGACCACTATTGGCAGAATGATAGGCTTGATGTACAAGCAAGACTTAGTGTGTCTGAGTTTATTTGTTACTCATCTCAGTTGAGAATCCAGTGATGAACCTGATTAGATGAGCAATTCCACCAGTCAGATAGCTGGAACCCAAAACTCGGCCATTCTCTATGATATCAAGGCTGCAACTGACAAGGCCATTTGACTATTTTTTATCTCTTATTTTATATACTTTTGGTTTTAATAAAAATTACAAATGTACTGTACTTTTTAATTACATTCTTAGTGGTAAACATTAAAATAAACAAATACTTAACAAACACTTATTCATAATTGGCAGCTACTTAAAAGATGACCTATGAAGGTTGAATTTATAATGAGTGGAAAAGTCAACGTGGCCCTAGTATAAATACTATACAAAAGAATCCACACAGTTATGAATAGAGCTGTTGCACGGATGTAATCAAGGGGGTAGGCGGGGCTTCCTGTCGGCCATCTTGAGTGGCAAGAATGTACACGCAACGAATGGAGGAATGGAAACAAACTGCGATTTTTCATCAAAGAGATATCATACTTCACTGCAGAATATTATAGAGACTTCTTTACTCAATATCTTCATCTCCTACCTTGCATTAGCCTGGAATGTCAACTGCAGAATTTATTTAAATTTTTTCTCCATTCCCCCATTCATTCTTAGCCTTCTTGCCACCCAACATGGCGGACAATTTAGCTCAATTTTAGCATAGATACTATATATACCAAGTGGATACAAAACAGGATGTGCCTATGCTCTTTTCGCCGGATGTGACGTTTTTCCTAGATACGCTTAGCAACCAAAATGGTGGCAAAATCAATAATTATAAAAAACTTCATAAAAATCTATATTTCTTCTGAAAAGAGTCAGTACAAGAAACAACAGACAATTTAGCTTCATTGGTTTCATATTCATACCCTATTTGATCATCAAAAAAATAATATTATAATAATAGTTTTATCATTCTAATATGGTATATCACAATGACATTAAGTAACTTTTTTCGAAGAAACATAGCTTTAAAATAATTATGAAAATATACAAACCGTACAAAAGGCATGTACGTAGACTCATACAAAATTATACCTCTTCAAATAGCATAGTTTTCCAGAAAAGGTGTTTACAAAACAGACCATAAACAAACTAAAAAATGGATATATTTATATTTTATAAAACTGCAGTGGAAAGCTAGTAGTTACAGACCATGTAACACAATAATATCCTTCTTCTACCCAAATAACAGTTACTAACTCTGCCCCAGATTGGAGAAAAGGTGTTTAAAGTCAGAACTATAGGCCGCCATGTTTTACAGTACAACGAGATCCAGTGATCAAGCAAACAAGGATTCAGCAGGTCATTCGACCTAATAGAGACTTCATAATACTTACTTCAACTCAGGAAAGTAGTAACTTGACCAAGAACCCAAAACTTCGAGAAACAAGGCCACTAGAGGCTACGCTAGAGCGAAAAGAGCATAGGCATACTTCTCGTGACGTCACCAATATAATTTCATGTATATACAATCTACTTCCTGTTTCGCATCCACTTGGTATATATAGTATCTATGGTCCGTCCGTCCGCTTTTGAGGGGCGTTACTAGAATGCGGATCAGTGCGGATTGCTGCGGATCGTTCCGCACGCTGAACCAAGCACGTGAACGCGCGGAACGTGCACGGGCGTCTGCCTAGAATGCGGATCAACTCCCAAGAATTCAGAATATGCACCATAACTTCCCGCGGATCAGTCCTCTTGTTCTTCTATTCCATTCAGTCTCTATTTGTTGCAATGTTTAACTTTTTATAAAGTAAAAATAACTATTTGTAACTGTAATAATTTTAAACTTTGAATGTACGAGATTTCAGTGATGATATCAAAATAAAAAGCCTTCAGTCATTGGTCATAGAATAGATTATACTGCATCTAGATCTAGTTGCAATGAAATGAGTTACAATCTGCATTAAAAACAAACATATAGTCATAAAATTTAAACAATAAAAGTCGCCTCACAAATAAAAATTATTTTCATTGTGTAAAAATGATTATTAAGAATAAAAATATTCTATTGGCCAACAATTGTTACCACCTATCATTTTTATTTGAAAGTATTCCTTTTACATAATTACAAATACTGCTCTGATTGCATTAAGATATTTAATGTAGATAAGTCTTTATAATGCTTTTATAAGCAACTTAGACTGATAGCAAATCTTTACATCACTGAGTGGCTGATATCATTATCTCTTAAAAGTTGCTCAAGGAACTAAGATAATTCAGTTTTGGCAGCAATTATCAATGAACAGTATAAAAAGTAGCTAACAAAATTCAAGTTGACCCAACTCTAGTTGCTAATTTATGCAGAGCATAAGATATTTTTATTTGACTTACTTTCAGAGTCATGTTTCCTACATATATCAAGCTTAAAATTATTATAACTTCCCTCTAGTAATCCTGTAGATATTTTTAAAAAGCAAGCAATAAAGATAGTAATGTAAAATTTAAAAAAACTAGTTTAAGTATTAGTCAAAAAATACATCTATAATAATTAATTGACATTTTTAGTACTGCAACTAGAATCACTGAATAATATTCATACTAAAAAAACGCTAACTCCATCATTTATTGACCAAGAGTATGTACTCTTGTTAAACTGAGTTGTATCTATTCTGACAAAATTTCAGATTTACTACTGACAAAGCGGCTATAAAGCAATTAAGCAAGATACAGTAATATTGATATGAAGCATGCAGCAATCCACAACTTGAAAGACCTCATTTTTAAAACTATATTTTTACATGCATCCCAATGCAAATGAAGATATCTTTGTGAGGAAAAATGATATAGCTAGGTGGTAGCAATTTTTGGCCAATAGAATTATTTTGGTAATATCATAATAATCATTTTTACACAATAAAAATAATTTTTATTTGTGAGGCGACTTTTATTGTTTAAATTTTATGACTATATGTTTGTTTTTAATGCAGATTGTAACTCATTTCATTGCAACTAGATCTAGATGCAGTATAATCTATTCTATGACCAATGACTGAAGGCTTTTTATTTTGATATCATCACTGAAATCTCGTACATTCAAAGTTTATAATTATTACAGTTACAAATAGTTATTTTTACTTTATAAAAAGTTAAACATTGCAACAAATAGAGACTGAATGGAATAGAAGAACAAGAGGACTGATCCGCGGGAAGTTATGGTGCATATTCTGAATTCTTGGGAGTTGATCCGCATTCTAGGCAGACGCCCGTGCACGTTCCGCGTGTTCACGTGCTTGGTTCAGCGTGCGGAACGATCCGCAGCAATCCGCACTGATCCGCATTCTAGTAACGCCCTCTGAAATGCGGATCCACGCGGATCAAATGCGGATCGGGCTGAAATGGGTCGTCCCTAAAAAACGGACCGGACCGGACCAACCGACCATGGTCGGCGACAAATCTGTTTTACGGACCCGAATGGTCCGCCCGTCCTTTTCGGGCGGGGCGGGTCCGTCCGTCCGTCCGCTTTTGAGACCCTACCACGCCCGATACTATATATACCAAGTGGATGCGAAACAGGAAGTAGATTGTAAATGAAATTATATTGGTGACGTCACGAGAGTATGCCTATGCTCTTTTCGCTCTAGCGTTAGCCTCTAGTGGCCTTGTTTCTCGAAGTTTTGGGTTCTTGGTCAAGTTACTACTTTGCTGAGTTGAAGTAAGTATTATGAAGTCTCTATTAGCTCGAATGACCTGCTGAATGCTTGTTTGCTTGATCACTGGATCTCGTTGTGCTGTAAAACATGGCGGCCTATAGTTCTGACTTTAAACACCTTTTCTCCAATCTGGGGCAGAGTTAGTAAGTGTTATTTGGGTAGAAGAAGGATATTATTGTGTTACATGGTCTGTAACTACTAGCTTTCCACTGCAGTTTTATAAAATATAAATATATCCATTTTTTAGTTTGTTTATGGTCTGTTTTGTAAACGCCTTTTCTGGAAAACTATGCTATTTGAAGAGGTATAATTTTGTATGAGTCTACGTACATGCCTTTTGTACGGTTTGTATATTTTCATAATTATTTTAAAGCTATGTTTCTTTGAAAAAAGTTACTTAATGTCATTGTGATATACCATATTAGAATGATAAAACTATTATTATAATATTATTTTTTTGATGAT